CCATTCTTTTCTGGTTATGCTGTCTGGAGATTTTAAGCTTTATCTTGGTTTTGGAGGTCTTTTTGTTTGTTGCTCTATGCGTTATTCAACAAGTATGGTTGCTTTTTGGTGTTTATGTCTATGTTTAGGTTTATATGATTTCATTATGATATTTCACAGCTTTAATAATTGTTTGGAGAGCTTTGTTGCATTTAATATGAGTTTTGATTTGATTGAGTATATCAAATTTGTATTAATTTGCCTTTTACCATTTCCTTTTATTATCCGGAATAATGAATTGATATATGTTCTACTATAAGAAGGTGAATTAGAATAGTAAAACAGTAAAACTAGGTCATGTTTGGGCAAGCAATGGAAAATACCATATGCGTATTCTTTCTTGCTTTTTTCTTTCTGTAGATTGTTATTTTTTCCCATTGAGATATTTTGCTAATAACTTGAATTTTGGATATATCTATGATATATAAAGTATTTTTTTTAGGTTTTAGTTTCTATATGCGTTTTGATCGAGTTTTTTATTTCTTTTATTTGCCTTCTGTTAAAACTGTCTTCAGTTTCCGTTGGATGTAGCTTCAGTATGAGTGGAAGATGCAAAACTATTGATATGTAGATGTCGGACAAAGTAGAAAGCTCAGCAGTATAGTGTTGTACAGTGGATTGATATGGATGTTCATTTGTTTGATGTGGAATCGGAACTGAGATATCGTGGGATGGCAGATGATGGAGCTGCTGAACTCAATGAAGGTGGAGAAACAAATAATGCTGATAACTCATTGACTCGGGAGGAGGATGGGATTGCTGAACCGCATGTCGGTATGGAATTTGATTCTGAAGATGCTGCTAAGACTTTTTATGATGAATATGCTAGACGTGTAGGTTTTAGCTCCAAAGTCGGGCAGAGTAGCCATTCTAAAACTAATGGCACAGTTATTACTCGAGAATTTATATGTAGCAGAGAAGGTTTGAAAAGAAGGTCGAATGATAGTTGTGATGCTATGCTTAGAATAGAGTTGAAAGGTCAGGAGAAGTGGGCTGTCACAAAGTTTGTAAAGGAGCACAGTCATTCTATGGTAAGTTCTAACAAGGTGCATTATCTTCGGCCTCGCAGGCATTTTGCTGGTGCTGCAAAGACCCTTGCTGAGACTTATCAAGGAATGGGGATCATACCTAGTGGGGTGATGTATGTCTCCATGGATGGAAACCGTGCGTCTACTGATGCAAATAATCGCGGAGTTAGGAACACTGCTGTAGAATCAAATCGCCCGCTTAAGAGCATGGGAACCATGAATTACTCTATTAGATCTGCCGCTAGAAAGAGGCCGCTAGGGAGGGATGCTCAGAATCTGCTGGACTATTTTAAGAAAATGCAGGCTGAGAACCCTGGCTTCTTTTATGCTATACAGCTTGATGAAGATAATCGCATGGCTAATGTATTTTGGGCAGATGCAAGGTCTAGGGCAGCTTACTCTCATTTTGGCGATGCAGTCTCACTGGACACAATGTACAGAATGAGCCAGTATAGGGTGCCATTTGCTCCATTTACAGGGGTGAACCATCATGGTCAGACAATTTTGTTTGCTTGTGCATTGCTACTTGATGAATCTGAGGCTTCTTTTATTTGGCTGTTCAAGACATTTCTCACTGCAATGAATGATCAACAACCTGTCTCCTTGATAACTGATCAAGATAGAGCCATACAGACAGCAGTTGCTCAGGTGTTCCCAGAAGTCCGCCACTGTATTAATAGATGGCATGTGTTAAGAGAGGGCCAGGAAAAGTTGGCTCATGTGTGTCTTGTACACCCCAATTTTCAGTCAGAACTGTACAATTGCATCAACTTAACTGAAACCGTAGAGGAATTTGAATTATCTTGGAGTTCTATTGTTGAAAAATATAATCTGAGAGGACATGATTGGCTCAATTCCTTATATAATGCCCGTGCTCAATGGGTCCCGGTGTACTTTCGGGATTCATTTTTCGCTGCAATATCTCCAAGTCAAGGATTTGGTGGCTCCTTTTTTGATGGATATGTGAATCAACAAACTACAATACCAATGTTCTTTAGACAGTATGAGAGAGCTATTGAGAATTGGTTCGAAAAGGAAACTGAAGCAGATTTTGACACAATTTGCACTACACCGGTCTTGAGAACACCATCACCTATGGAGAAACAGGCAGCAAATCTCTACACTAGGAAAGTATTTGCAAAATTTCAGGAAGAACTTGTTGAAACTTTTGTGTACACTGCAAATAGAATTGAAGGTGACGGTGCTGTCAGTACATTCAGAGTTGCAAAATTTGAAGATGACAACAAGGCATACATTGTTACGTTCAATTATCCTGAAATGAGGGCAAATTGTAGCTGCCAAATGTTTGAGTACTCAGGTATTCTGTGTAGACATGTTTTGACAGTCTTCACTGTTACAAATGTGCTTACGCTGCCATCTCATTACATATTGAAACGATGGACAAGAAATGCCAAGACTAGTGTTGGAATGGATGAGCGCAGTGGTGATTTAAACGGTCAAGAGTCTCAAACATTGCGATTTAACAATCTATGCCGAGAAGCAATCAAATATGCAGAGGAAGGGGCCATAGCTATCGAGACTTACAATGTAGCATTAGGTGCTCTTAGAGAAGGTGGTAAGAAGCTTGCTGTTGTGAAGAAAAATGTTGCCAAGGTGGCCCCTCCTAACCCTCAGGTTGCTGGTATTGGATATGATGACCGGAAGACCTCTACATCAGCTTCAGACACAACCCCTTTGTTGTGGCCACGGCAAGATGAAATGACGCGAAGATTCAATCTCAATGATGCTGGTGCCCCAGCTCAATCTGTTGCTGATTTGAATCTGCCACGCATGGCACCTGTGTCCCTTCACCGTGACGATGGCCTGCCCGATAACATGGTATGAAAGAGAATTGTTTGTTTGTTTGTTTGTTTTTTTTTTTTTTTTTTTTTTTTTTGTTTTTGTTTATAACAATGTGTTTATCTTTTGAATTCAGTTCTTATATTTGGCCCTTCAATACAGGTGGTTCTTCCTTGTCTGAAGTCAATGACTTGGGTGATGGAGAACAAAAATTCGACATCAGGAAATAGAGTTGCCATAATTAATTTGAAGGTATGGATACGCGAATCGAAATGAATATACGGACTAAAATGCTAATTGAGGCCATCTTATCAATCTGATACTAACTTTGTTATAGATTTCTTTTTGGACCAAAATGGAAGGTTTGGATAACTGCCTGCTTTTTTCATTCCTTTTTGTTTGCTACACGTGTCATATATGATTTGATTTTAATGATATTGACAGTTGCAAGATTATAGCAAGACTCCATCGGCAGAATTGGAGGTTAAGTTTCAGCTCTCTAGGGTCACACTGGAACCCATGTTAAGGTCTATGGCTTATATTAGTGAGCAACTTTCTACCCCAGCCAACAGGGTCGCTGTTATCAATTTGAAGGTATATGAATTTAAAATTTTAGGCATATGTATTGCAAGTTTATCATCTTGAAAGTATCTTATGGTCAAAACTCTTTCATGGTTTGCATCACTTTGCAAGATTTTGACTAGTTTCCATCCAAGAAGATGACTATAATATTGTGCCCTTGTGTATTGCTCTCCCAACATTACACTGCCATTGACTATCTAAGAAAGAGTGAATTCGAGATTGCTGGTCTGGCTTGTAAGCCCAGTTATATTTTTGAAAGAAAATGAAAAGGGGTTCATTCACAAGGATCCAAGTGGTGTTATTAAAATACAAAAGTATTTAGTATAAAGATGGCAAAGTCTACCAAGATCCTCTCCGTCATGGTGAGGATGACAATTGAACAAAATACACGAGGTTTTTCTATAATGCCCAATTCTATCACAGGGACAAAAATACTGGGAAAGCACTTCTGTTTCTCTCTTTTCAAACAACCCACAAATAGACAGGGAATGGGAGATACTAACTTCTTCTTTTACCTCATTTACGCCTAGCTATATTCTCCGTTTAGGAATGGACTCAGGCCTTCTAGCATAAGAAACAGGCAATTAGAGGTCTGAACTTCATACTATTGCATGTTCTATGTGAGACAAAGATTTAACAGGGAACATATTGTTACTACTGCAGATCCCTGTAAAGAGTAGAGACAGTTGCTATATTCATTTCATTATGGAAGAACAAAAATTAAATTCTCGTTTAATCAAGATTTAGTTTGTAGAAGAATAAGGCTTTCCTTGAAATTCCATATGGGATGTATTGTTGCATTCGGTCATTGTATATTCACAGACAAATATTTGGGTTTATCTTTCCCATATTTTGCATGCTGGAATATCATATTTGGTTGAAAGGAAAAACAACAAAAGGGGAGGATGTGGAGTGTAAGTATGGATGCAAGTTTTTCCAAAACATCCTTGTACTTAAATCTAGCGAAGGGGAGATCTACCGTGGCTTATATGTTTCTTACCAGATTACCTTCCACCTTTCTGACCAGCAGTTAGGAAATAGACTTATCTTTAGCTCCCTTTCAAGTTCAAGTAACCTTATAACCGGACATCTAAGAGTTTATAGGATGACTTTGCAATGTTTTAGTATAAATTTTCAGCACATTTTCTTGAGGTCTTGATCATCCCACGATCTATAACGCGTGCCTTCCTCAACTTGTGCCTCTTCATGTCACTTCCTTTGGTAGATAAGTTAACTTTACATCCCCGCAAAGATTTCTAGTTCATAGCTGAACTGGCTTATTCATCAGTTTAGAGCCGGACCGGACCAAGGACAGTGATTGGAGGTCTGAACCAAAGACCGGACTTTGCATTTTGCTCCAGACCTTAAAATGCCGATCCAGTGCAGTTCAGAAAATGCCATTCCGGTCTGCATCCAAAAGTGTTTTGTGTTTTCAAAATTTGAGTCTTTTAATATTTTAATTTTTTCAATCTTTTCTAAATTGATGTATTTTTGTAATCTGGTCTATTTCGGTCCGGTCCAGACTGGAAACTGGATCAAAACAGACCGTTTTTAATTTTTTCAATCTTTTCTAAATTGATGTATTTTTGTAATCTGGTCTATTTCGGTCCGGTCCAGACTGGAAACTGGATCAAAACAGACCGGATATTTTGGTCCTCTAATTCATGGACTGAGGACCAAAATATGAGCACCCCTACTTAGGACTTGGAAATAGCTAAAGTTGAGATAAGATTTAACAAAGGAGTCAGAAACTCCTACAGAAGCTTGGCAGTATAGATTTTCTCATGATTGTCTGGTTCACTCCAAGCCCTTCTAACGCGTGGCCGTACTGCCACGCACATACAAACTAAGATTATGATTGTGTTTCAGTCTTTGAACCTGAGATTGTTCTATTGCCTTGCAGGGTTCCCTTATTGAATTTGTTACTTTATGGATGGACTAATTTCTATCTATCATTTTTTCAGCTTCAAGATACAGAAACAACTTCAGGAGAGTCAGAGGTTAAATTTCAGGTGTCCAGGGACACATTAGGTGCCATGTTGAGATCAATGGCCTACATACGCGAGCAGCTTTCTAATGCAGTAAGGATTCAATCCCTTTTCAACTTTTTGTTTTTTTTTTACCCCCTTTGGCAAATTGTTACTAAACTTTACTTTGAGGAAGATGACAAGCACTATTAATTTGTCAGAAAAATGCACAATGTTTTTTCCAAATTCTACTGTCAGGTTTCTCTAGTGATGAACTTGTCAACAGAAATAGAGGTGCATGATGGTTTGAAATAAGGAAACATGTTTTTGCTATGTTTATATCTGATACAATTTCTAAGGCATTTTTTTGCTGAAGTATGATATAAATATTTACATGTCAAATCTTCCAGATAATTGATGCTATTGTTCTTCTTCTATGTCTATTGCAATACTTCTCATATTAAATGTATATCCAAATGGAAATAGGAGATTATGTATCATGATGTATGTGGTCTGAGTTCTTTTTTTAACAGGAAAAAATAATCAGATCACAAGTACCGAGGGGGTGCAACCCATGTGGTCTATGAGTTATTGTTTCCTCTTAGAAAGTATTTTTTGAAATGAAAAGTATGGTGTGATTTGTATTATAGAGGCACCAACTGGGTGTCAATCCATGTACAAAAAGTTTTATTTGAGGTAGTATTATGAATGTTGGACCACCATGCTCAATGGTTGAGGGGGACAAGCAGCAGGGAATTTGAAATTGTTCAAGTTTCTACTTTTAGCTCATTGTACAGAATAAATTGATGAGATAACAAGTGGGAAAAAGGGGAAGTTTACCAGCAAATTGTGTAGGTAGGATAATTAGTTTATAACTGTTTATTGGCATGGTGGGTAGAGAGCTCTGCAGATAATAAAAGATAGGTGTTCAATATACAAGCTGAGCCTTCATATGACTTATTGGTTATGAATTTTAGGTAGGTGATTCTAATTTGTGTGCTTTCATATCTTTTTAGGTTACATTTAGTTCAAATGTTAATGCTTTGAAATCGGAATTGGAACACTGTATAAATGCGATAAAAATTCAAAGGAAAATTATATGTTTTTTCTTTTGGATAAAAGAACTTATTAAGACCAAGAGAAGAGAATACAAGATAAGAGAAGGAGACATCCTGCCAAAGAAGAGAACTACAAACACAAGAAACCCATCAATAATAAAGAAGGAGAACAACCAACAAAAAAATCTAATTGTCATGAATATGATATCCTAATTGCATTGAAGATTGGAGATGCTAAGGTCCTGATAGCAGCCATGTTCTTTAGTTCACAAGGACACCAAAAAATCACCATACCCCACAACTTGAAGTATTGAGTATTTCTGTTAGTAAAGATTCTAGAGTTGCGAGCAAGCTAAATACACTATAGGGCAAAGGAGCACCCTGCCATAAAGGTTTAGTAACCTTCCTGAACCCACGCCTATTCATATGAATAGCAGTCCAAACTAAGAGTTTCACCTTTGAAGGAACAGAAGTATTCCAGAAACCCTTGGCTATCTGTATCTGGCGGGCAACGGCAAATGAATTATTGGAAGAGACATGCACAGAGGGGTTGTTAAGGTATTCAAAGCTGGAGGATTCCAAGTTCCAGAGTCAAAAAAACAACATCAGGTTGTGAGGATGGTATTATAGGGGCCAAAAGGTCCAATAAGGATAGCACGTAGTCTCCCTATCAAAAAGGTTTTGGGAGAAGTGAAAACTCCATGGCATCCTTTCTTCAGTGTGGATCGAAAATTGAGAGACTGGAACTTGATGTCTGGAGGAAAAACTGTATAACCCAGGAAATTGTGTAGCTTATGGTTGGTTGCACAACTAACAATGAGAGACGTACCTTCCTGCAAAGACATTCCAAACATCGCTCTCACTCCGATGGATGTTTCTGATCACCCTATGCCACAAAGAGTCCCATTCTCTTTAATATCCAGAGCCATTTAGCCAATAGTGATAAGTTTTTTAATCTAAGATTCTCAATTCGCAACCCTTTTGAGTTCTAGATTTATAATATATTTCCCAATTGATTATATGATCCTTATAATCCTTTCCCACCCTCGACCAAGAAAACTTATTAGAAATGGTAACTTATTAGAATAAGAATGAAATTAGAAATAATACAGTTTCTAATTTTCATTATTATACATAATGCAGATAAAGTCGATTTAGTATTATAAAATCCTTTTTGCTACCTTGCTCGGTATCCTAAACAGAGACAAGTAGTAAAATGGGATGCTGGAAAGGCATGCCTGGATCAAAATGACCCTGCCACCCAAGGTGAAGAGACCTCCCTTCCAACAAAGCAAAATTATATGTTAATTTCATGTTAATTCATAGTGCAATTTTCAAGTTCGGTGGATTTCTGATTCCTACCTTGACAAGTTACTCTAGAATTTAACATGAGATTGGAGTTGGTTTGGTGTTATACTCAGTAACATGAAAGAAAAGGCTGAAGAAGGACCCACAAACAGCAAACAGAAGAAAAGCAAACAGATAAATAGTTGAAGTGATCTCTTTGCTGTCTTTTGTTAGGTTAGATGCCTTTTATTTTAGGATGCCTGTTTTCTAGATATTTGATAAATAGGCCAATTAACAAAGCCTGAAACCAATGGTTATTATATCCTTGATATTAGGAAGAACTCAGTCCACTTTTTCCTGTTTATTTATACTCCACTTTTAGCCTAAAATCAGATCATATCCAATATTTTAAGAATCTGTCCATTCTTTATTTGTATTCAGATTTCGCCAATAAAAGGAAGAGAATAATTATTAAAAACAAGTTTAGCGTGCTTTAGCTTTGTAGATTAGTGGATTCTCTTTAACGAGCTCCAAGCCCTAGTTCTCCATAACTCATTCATGATGATATCTGAAGTCACCCTGACAACTTGGTAAAAGAGCAACTCCTTGTGTGAGAGAGAATTTAGTACCTTCAACAATGACTTCAGGCTTTCCTTGAACTTTATCATGAGGACTGTGTTAACATGGAAGAGTGGCTGAGTCAGCTTGCTATGCAAGTGAAGGGCCCGTTTAGAGAGCTTTCGAATAGTAGACCAGCAAACAATACAATGCTACAAAGAGAGTATAAACGGCTCTGGTAAGAAACTCAACAGTGTGGTAGAATCGAATGAGTTACGGAAGTGTCCACACTATTAGTCCTTATAAAGTGATCAGTCTTTCATTCTATAGAACAAGCAAACATCTCAACTTCTAGAAGAGTTGAAGGGCTGCAATGCACATATCAACTGTGATGCTGTCTGCAAGTATGTTCTTACCGCTGCTCGTGATAAAATTATTAAGACATCAGACATTCAGATAGATATTGTGTTGCAACAGTTGGGCGGTGTGGTAAATTATAGACATCGGGCATTCAGACATCGGACTATTTTTTGGATCATTTGGAAAGAGAGAAATTATAGAGCTTTTGAGGGTATAGAAGTTGATAGATACAAACTTTAGATAGGTGGTTTAAATATTTTGGGTTTTGTATATTGGGGCATGACATTCCCGGTGATGAAGATTTTGGGGATGTTATTGATACCCTTACATCTCTGTAAATTCCTATGTATACGAGTGGTACCTTCTTTGGTGCCATTCTAATTTATGTTAACTTTTCTTTCAAAAAAAAAAAGGTTGGGCAGTGTGGCGTAGCATCAACCAAAATTCAAACTTCGATGTCGGGAGAGTGAGAGATTGGGTCACTGGAGTGGAGAGTGTCCGAGCTTGGTGTAGAGATCAGTGATGGCTGGCAGTGGCTACTGATAGTTGTCTAGTGGTGGTGCTGGCTAGAGAATCAGTGGTAATGGAAATCAAGGGCAGGGGCAGGGGCAGGAGCAGGAGGAATGGAAGAAGCTGAAGAAGTCAAAGACTAAGGTCTGGCTTGGCTGTCTGGGTTTTTGGAGCTGTGGGCTGGCCTGGGGAGGGCAGATGTGGGCTGAGGTCTTGGGGGTGCTGAGCTGGGGGAAGTTAAATATGTGTTGGGCTAGGTAGTAGGGGCTTTTTTTGAAAAAAAAAAAAATTCCATTCTTTTTTATATGGATTGAAAACTAACCAGATTGGACCAAAGACTGGATCAAACTGTGGTTTGGTACAATCCTATCTGGATTGTTCAATCTAGTCCAAGCTAAACCGGGTTTTGAACACTCCCATGCAGCCCGAGGACAACCACCAGATATCATATTCTGTCACCTGGGATTTTTTTTTTAATATTTTGGGAAGTGGCTTACTCAAGATTGAATCCGTTTCTCATATTTGGTACTTGAGGACAAGCACTTGTAGGTGATAACATGAAAGAAAAGGCTGAAGAGAGACCCACAAACAGGAAGCCAAGAATGGCGAAATTGCAAAGTGAGTTGCACTAAGCTCTTGTCCTGTCTTTGGTTAGATCTAGATGTCTTTAATTTTGAAAATTTTATTTTTTAGTTATTTAAATAAATAGACTAATTAAGGAAAGCCTAAAATCATGGTGATTATATCCTAGATATTAGGAAGTAGTCAGTCCACTCTTCCTACATATTTGTGCTCAGATTTTAACCTAAAATCATGGTGTTCTTATCCTAGAGTTTAGAAAGAAGTCTGATCACTTGTCCTATCTATTTGTATTCAAATTTCAAAATAAAAGAATAATTTCTTTTAAAAGAATTAGGTTCCTTTAGCTCTGGAGATCTGTAGGTTCTCTCTAACAAGGCCCAAAACCTAGTTCTAGGTATCTCATTCCATGACAAGATCTGAAGTCTGGACCATAACTTTTCATAATCAAAATAAAGTTATCATTACATTTTTATCAAGTAATTGATATCTATTTCTCACAAAAAAAAAGTATTTGTGATCTCATAATAGAATGAGAATTGGTTTGAAGCAAACTAGACTAGCATATGAACTTTAATGATCCATTTCTCGATATTCTGTGCACGGGTGGTAGTTGGTACCCCTTGCCTTATTGTATACATGTTCTTCTAGGAAAAAGACCCATCCCTTTGTTCCTTATACTAAAAATAGGAACGGGAATGTAACTAATAATTGTCGGGACTCTAGTTTTGTTTAGAATTGATCCTTGAAAAGGGATAGGAGAGAAGAATCTCAGTGGTTTGGGGGTGGGGAGGGTGGGGATTGACTTCCTACTGCTTAGGGTTTATTTATACACCAACCGAACCTTTTATGTAAATTTTAATGGCAATTTTATTGTAACGGTGTTTGCCATACATGGCTGTAAACGTGGAGTTTCCAATTTCAAGTGTTTGTTGTTCTATTCTCTATAATGGGAATTTATATAATCTATGAAATTTAGTGTTCTTGAGATTCAGATTTTTGTACGATTGTGTGTTTGTTTTTCGTCCAAAATCTTCTTCTCTCATATCTGGGGAAATCGCTGTTTGGCAGGTTGAACCTCAAGCAGAACCTCCTCCAAAAAAACATCGGAAGTAGCTCGAGTTTCGGACTAACTTGTCCCTCAGTAGTGGCAGACCTTGTTTACCAACATTTTTAATTGGCAATCTCACTGAGTTGAGGATGCTTCTTTTTCTTCTTTGTTTTTTTTTTGGTCTCATCCCTTTCTCATGTAAGCTTTCTTCTGTGTAACATATGTGTACATGTACAAAATTCCAAAATATCAAATAGTTCCATTTGATGATTTAATGTTGGTCAAGGGGACCTCTGAATCATACCTTTTTTGTCAGAGAAGGCTCCTTGGGTCTGATCTACTGACCTTGACTTGATTTGGCAGAATATTTCATTGCATGAACCAGCCTAGAAATTTGTAAATTCTGGTTAAATAATAACTGTCCAAAAAAAATTCAATTAAACTTTTATGTCTATAATGAATTTCTGATAGCTATAAGGTGAATATATATATATATATATATATATATATATATTTTTGACCATCGTAGTTGGAACAGGTTGATACCACCATTTCATGAAGTTCAATCTCGATTCAACCATTATATGACTTCTGGTCCGACCCAGACTTGTATCATGAGTTAATGTTGTATATTTCATATCTTATTTTAGTGAATGTTTGCATATATAATTGTTTGTCATAATTAAATTTTTACTGACTAATTTTTTTACAAAATATGTAACAAAAATCATATAGAACTTATGCGATTACTGAATTAATAAAAATTACGTAATTGGTGGTTTATTAAATTTTATTTTAAACGAGTCAAGAAACCAAAGAAAAAATAGTTACCATGTTCTGAATAAATACCCAAACTAGAGATATATCTATAATACTTTATTATCTTTGCATATTTTTAATAACTAAATAGTTTAGATACTTCAATGGCAGAGATAAGAAAAAAATGGAACTAGTAATTTTACTCACCATCCAAAATAGGGCAGTTTATGCGTAAAGATTACAGAAGAAACAAAAAAATCTATATCTTCACGTACCAACTAGATCTCGTAACAAGAAAAAATCGTATGTATTTGTTATATGATTCAGAGAAATTATGCAAAGATATGTGTATGACCCAAAATACGTACACGAAGAACATGATTGACTTGGGAGAGCTTCGGTGATGGCTAGCCATGTCACAGGTCCTCAGTTGAGTCTGCCTGTAATTGTTACTCTCAAAATGTTCACAGCAAAATAACCATATATATATATACATACTTAAAACAGCAAGTGATGAAATTATAAGTAGTACCCCATGTTTTATTATCAGATGCAGAAGATAAATATTTGTTACTAAAAAAACAGCTTGAGAAAAAATAAAATGAGCAGAGCTACTTAAATATCTAATTCTCTACAAGTTCCATTGTACAAAAGACGTTTGTCAAATACTGTATATCCCTCCCCCCACCAGCCTAAATTCAAAACCATCTTCAAAGTGTTCGGTAAGTGAGTGGGACAAAAAGAAAAGATACAGAATAAATGCACTCCCTAACATGTTTTGCAGAAACATTGCAGCGGAAAGTATCACCCCGTTAGAATGCAATGGATGCAGACAGCGAGCAACTTCTAAGCACCGTAAATACTACCAAACTTCAGTACGAAGGAGTTGCTTACGCCAAACAGCATTTGAACCAGTGCAGCCATCAGTCGCTCACCCAGAGAGATTAAGCCTTGAAAAGAGTTTTCAATATTCAACCCCCTTCCAGTGCTCTCTACAAACTCCTGTAATCTATAACAGTTACTTCATCCTCCGGGGCATCTAGGTCTTGATAACTGCATAAAATTGATACGAGCAACATTAGTAAAACAACTTAATAGTCTCTCGTCATTATGAGTCCATCATCAACATCAATCCATTTGCACTACCTAAATTTGGCAAGCAAAAAATATAAAAAACAAACATCTCTCAGAATTCCAAATTTAGCTTGAAGCGTAAAAGCATTTTCTTGCTCAATTGTTTGTAAAAGGAACCCGTTAACATTCACTTTTCTCCACCGTCTCATCATCTAAAAGCCCAAGCTTATGTGGCTGCAGCTAGAGTACATTAACTAGGGAGGGAATGTGTGGACATTTTTGTTTCTCGAAAAGAAAATGTCTGAAAATTATGCATGATATAGTTCTAATTTTCTTTCACCATTTTACTTAGAACATGGAGCACCATGGTACTAGCCACACAAAGTCACCAGTTTTCTGTTTTATTTTCCCACAAATAAGGGAAAATGCAGGCCAGAAGAAAGTAGCACATGAAAGGTGTATCAAAATATAAAAAACAAAGTGGATTTCCAAATTAATCATTGGAGTTGTTGCATCATGCTCACTTGATCCAATGTTCTTCTAGACATAAATAATTACAAATAGGAATACAATGAATCGCAGTAGGAGATTTATGCAGACATTTACCTTCGTAAGCGTCGAGGATCCTGTCTAAAGGCTGGCGACAAAAGAAAGGGAGCTGGTCCACTTAACTGTGGCCCAGGCCTTCCATTCCTACCACCACCCTCAAATGAAGGACCACCCTGCTCTCTAAACATCCGCATTGCAACTTCAGGTGGAGCTGGGACAAAGGGTCCCAATGGACTGCAAACACAACAATTCAGATATAAAAAAAAGAACTAATTATTGCAATCAGAACAATAAAAGACACCATATTTCAAGGAGCCCTACCCTGCACCGGGAACGGGCATCAATACTGGTGGAGGGGCTATATCTGAGGAAAAAGGAGCAACACGCATGCCTTGTCCACCAAAGGCATCATACATTGCTTCATCATGATTGCCCCCGTCAGAAACCTCATTGTTGGACGGAAATTCCCCTGATTGTTGATTGTCAGACCTATCATATCTATCATTACCATTAGCTCGGTTGTCCCGTTCCCTGCGGCCACGCTCATCTCTCAATCTATTTTCTGAACCTGGTTTCCGTCTCAGTGGCCTGTCTCTCTGTCAAGAAAAATTTATGTAAACATTAACATCAAAAGATACTAAGGACATTAGTGACAAAAGTGGACGGAAACCAGTTGGAGATCAGGTATTCATATATTTTCAATATCAGCTTCAAATAACAGTCAAGGTTAGAGCGGAATCCAACCAAAATGAATGCATTATCATGCAAACAAGATGAATTTCACTTCACTTGAACACTACAATCTCTGAGACCAGCTTCAGGACAGTCCAGTAAAATCTAAAGAATAAATGATCAAGCACCGGATCATGGCCGAATAGCAATCAGAGGAACTGTAACAGTAAATAAATACCAATTTTCCCTGAGTATCAAGTGTTCCATTTTATTAAATGCTGAATTCTGTTCCAACTTAAATTTAAAACTTCCTCGTATTACCCAAACCAGACGCAAACCTAAAATTCTTGAAATCCATCAAGGAGAAAAGAAAAAGGGACCT